GGAGAAGAAGAAGAAGAAGAAGAAGAAGAAGAAGAAGAAGAAGAAGAAGAAGAAGAAGAAGAAGAAGAAGAAGAAGAAGAAGAAGAAGAAGCTAAACACGCGAGGATCTGCGTTCGAGAGTGCCGCTGTATGTTCGCGACGCACACGGCTGTCGTAGATGAAAGAGTTGTCAGGGAAAATAGGAATATTAGGCACACAAGCGATTCACGGAACGGCCACTAGAGGTCGACATAGCTCTCAAGAGATCCAAATGACTAGACCCAAGTTTCTCAACCTCAGCAATTTTTTAAGATGGGTGGACTTCAACTCCCAGAATTCCCCAGCCAGCTATGCTGGCTGGGGAATTCTGGGAGTTGAAGTCCACTCATCTTAAAATTGAGATAGGCTGTGCCAGTCCCTGCAAGTTGCATGCAAAGGTTGCATGCAAAGAGGGTTGTGGTGTCCCTGTAATGGGGATGGGGTCCACCCTTCTGCCTCCCGCCCCGCCATTCTTCTCCTGATCCACCCCGGATGCTGTCACAGTCCCAATCGGTGGCATCCACTTACCCGGATGATGTAACGGGAGGAATTCTTGCTGTCCAAGTTGACTGTCAAGGTGAAGAAGACGGCGGTGCTGTAAACCCCTTGGGTCTTGTAGAACAGCTCGTCCAAGTCCCACCGGCCTTGTCTCCCCAGGGCCCCCATATCCCATCCTCCACAGTCCTCAATCACCTCCAGCATCGGCCAGGCGCCCAGCCGGTCAATCTCGGTCATATCTAAGCAGGAGCGGAAAAACTCCTTGACTTTCCGCTCGGCCGAGGCCCGGTAAGGACGCCGTACGGGCTGCTGGAGCAAACGTTGCAGCTTCTCCTCGTTCTGCTCGCCGATGGCGGCTATGGTGCCATAGATCAGCTTGTCCTCCGGGATGCCGTGCCGGCGCAACCAGCCGCCACAGGCGAAAGAGTAGAAGTCCTTGCAAGGGTCGATGGTCGGGTCGATGTTGGTGGCGATGAAGCGGGAAGCTTTGGTGAAGGCCCGGCGTTCTTGGCACCCTTCCAAGCAGTAGGCCGCCTGATCCAACGCCAGATACTTGAGCACTAAGATGCAGCCCAAAATGGCACACAGGCCGCCCGCGAAGACCAAGCCGGAGAGCAAGCAGATCTCGCGGCGGCTCCAACGCGGCAGGCCGCAGCGTTGGGGTTTCTTGGGCCCAGCGGTGCCCAGCTGTAAGTTGAATCCGTTGGGCAGTGCCCCACTGCTGCTGTACTTGCTGCTGTACTTGACCTCCTGGAACTCGTCGTAGTGAGCAGTCAGGGAGTAAGTCTTCTCCATGCTGACGGATTTGAACCCAGAGTCATTGGGCAGCTGTCATTCTCCCCGCAGGGTCCAGCAGGGGGCGCCCGTGCCAAGCTGTCAAAGCTGCAGCTTCTTCAACCAGATCTTGGAGAGAGGAGAGAGAAAAAATAAATAAAGAACGATTCAAGGATTTCCCCACGAAAGATGCTGATCCCGGGGATCAGCCGCCGCTCTCCCGAGTCGAGGGATCCACTCTGCAAAAGAGATTATTTCCGTTAGCTGCAAGAAGGATAAACATCTGGATTTTGGTTCCCCCCCCCCNTTGCCTGGCGTCAGGGACGAACTCCCTTTGATCTTCCCCACTGCTCCTTGCCTCAGGCGCCTCCTGGTGGCCAACCAGCCTCTCTGGTCCCTGCTCGGAGTCTGAACCCTGCCCAGGGTCCTCCACATCTTCCATAGCAGATTCATATGGTTCCTCGCTATCGGAGTCCATCGACAGCTCCAACGACTCCTGCTGGGCCACAACACTTATCTATCTATCTTATCTATCTATCTGAAGGCAGGACAAGAAGCAACGGATGGAAACTAATCAAGGAGAGAAGCAACCTGGAATTAAGGAGAATTTTTCTGACAGTTAGTACAATTCACCAGTGGAACTGCTTGCCACCAGAAGTTGTGATTGCTCCATCACTGGAGGTTTTCAAGAAGAGGCTTGGCTTCCATTTGTCTGACATGGCATAGGGTCTCCTTCTCGAGCAGGGGGGTGGACTAGAAGACCTCCAAGGTCCCTTCCAACACCGCAATATGTAATCCCGTGAAGTGTTCAGATTTGGGAAACAATGCAGATTTACAAAATCCAACCTGGGCTTTTGGCCATTCGGGTTGGTGGGCACTGGCATATTTGGGGACAACCAGAAACCTGTGGGAGGGGGTGTGGAAGAGGGAGATTTGGGAGGACGGGGGGAGGAGGGGAGGAGAATCTGCAAGTTTTCATTCAAATGGGAATAAGATTGGTGGAGAGGAGCCCATTTCTGGAAGCTCAGAGTTCTTTCTGAATGAAGAATGGGGGAAAAAAATAAGCAACTTTTTTGGTTAAGTTTCAAAGCAGGCAGCTTAAGATTTAGATATACAGACTGAAGTGGACAGGATGTTAATGCAGAATTTGGCCAAGAGCCAGATCTTCTGGAAAACAGGTTCTCGTGAGTCTGTCATATATCTCTTTACCCAGTGGTGGGTTTCAAAAAATTTTCGAACCTACTCTGTGGGTGTGGCCTCCTTTGTGGGAGTGGCTTGCCGGCCATGTGTTCTNCCTCCTCCTCCTCTTCCTCCTGCAATCCACAAACCCCTCTCCCTTCTAGCACTGATGATGTTACCTAGTTGGGTGATGAAACGTCTGCAAGAAAACCACTGAGCTCAGAGAGCACCAAGGATCCCGTCCCGTATTTAGCTTCTCAATCAGTGCAGCCAACATCTCTGGCTTTGTAGGCTGCCTATCGACATTTTATGAGGATTCTCCATCCTCATTTTCCCTTCTGGGTGTCGAGTTCAAACAGGGACATTTCCATTTTTGGGGTGAGGAAGGAAAGAGGGTTGGGGTTGATGTGATGTACGAGAAAGAATATAACCGGGGTAGGATTCAGACAGTTCAGACCGGTTTTAATCTGGGTTGCCGAATTGGTAATTGAAAGGACTGAGGGAACCGACTCCTATTAACGACGGCTGCAGTGTCCCCAGGGAGGGAGGGGGGGTTTCACCCGATCCCCTTTTGCGACCGTCTGACAAGCCAAATCCAGGGGTTAAAGGCAGAGTCACTTCACAACGGTGTGACGAACTGAACAATTCACTTAGCCACGGTGGTGAGAAAGGTGGTAAAATAAATGGGGAAAAACCCACTTAACGACTCTCTCGCCCAGCGATGGAAATTTGGGGGCTCCGTTGCGGTCGTAAGACGAGGACTACCCTCCGTTCCTGTTTACTGGGCACAATAACAATAAAAAGACATCTGCATGCTGATTTAATCAAGTCTGCCACGCATCAGGCGCAGAGATTTCACCTTTATGAATTTATCCTGACAAGCAGCTCCAAAGGTTGGGTTTGATTTGCTCCAGGAGCTGAGGGTTGATGAGGGGCACTGAGAGGGGAAGCCCCCCCACCCACCTAAAGCTGCTGGCCGTGCCCCTGGCCGCCGAAGCCCCCCATGAGTCATTCGAGCGCTTTAATCCGGCTTCGGCAAATCATTATGGCGAAACAATAAATATTTATAAATGCCTTTTAAAAAAGGCGGCGATACTTAGCTGCTAGAGAAACGTCAATAAGCAAATAACATCGTTCTGCCTGACGGATCCCGTTAGAAATAAACAGACACGGCGAGGATCAAAATGTACAGGGACCCCCCCCCCCACTTCGATTTGGCATCACGGAGGAAATACGGCGTTGAACCTTAAGCCAGTCGGTCCCTCTTGGTGCCTTTTCAGTGGAGATTTNCTCTCTCCCTTCCTTCTCTTCATTTGCTCTTTCACTCTTTCTTTCTCTTTCTTTCTTTCTTTTTTTCTATCTATCTTTCTCTCACTCTCTCCCTTCCTTCATCCCCCCTCCCTTCCTCCCCCTCCCCCAAGTATCCAGACTGAATCAACTGGGATCCCAGCCCTGCATTGCAGATGCTTCCCCCACCATCACGACGCCATCCACAGTGGGATGTCGCCAATGGAGATTTATGCGCCATCAATTATAAGACGGTGCCACTGCTCTGGGTAAATTGCAGGGCCTGGAATATGGGGGGGGGGAACAGGAGGGACCCCCACTGTGACGGGACCTGTTAGGGCACCACAGGAGGCCCCTACCTCTTTTGGCTGTGTTTTCAATGGGTAAACTGGGATGGGGATTTGACTGCAAGTAACCACTGGATGCTACTCCAGTAGAAAGTCTCCCCCAGTGTTTGGCAATCGGAACAACGTTAGACCTATGGACTTCAACTCCCAGAATTCCCCAGCCAGCTGTGCTGGCTGGGGAATTCTGGGAGTTGAAGTCCACAGGGCTTCAGGTTGAAAAGATTGGACAAAGACTCATTCATTCAACATCCTAAGCTCCGTACGCAGAGGTGGGTTCCAACCGGTTTGACTGGACCGGTTCGGCCGAACCGGTAGTAACTTGGTGGCCTGGGTCGCTGGGACCGGCAGCAACCCAGGCGTGCCACGCCCCCCTGTACCGGTTCTCTCGATGGCTCCGCCTTGTTTTTGCCTTCTGCACATGCGCAGAGCAATTTTTGTTGCGCTACGCATGGGCGCATGCGGAAGCGCATCCCTGAGCAAACCGGTAGTAGCGGCAGCCGGAATCTACACCTGTCCATACACCTGTCCTTGGGGTCAGTTTCTGAAGGAGGTGGGGGGGGTGGGCTGACTGCCAGAAGACGCTTTACCTTATTAATAAACTGGAACCACGTTGGGTGAAGGCCACCTTTGAAGTAGAGGAGACAACACACACACACACATACACACACACACACAGAGCAACAATTTAGCCACCTATCACACACTTGGAAAAGAATCTTTGTAGCTGGGGGTTGAACACTGGGGTCCTATGTGCTCTCTTGAGCCAAGTTGTTTGCTTGTGGAAAATGATGATACTGATGATGTTACCTAGCTGGGTGATGAAATGTCTGCAAGGAAACAACCAAACTCAGAGAGCACCATGGACCCCACAGTTCTCCNGAGAAGAAGAGGAAGAAAAGCAGGAGGAAGAAGGGGAGGAAGAAGAGGAGGAGGGGAAGAGAAGGAGGAGGAAGAAAAACAGGGGGAAGAAGAGGAGAAAGAGGAGGAGGGAGAAAGGAGAAGAAAAGGAGGAGGAAGAGGAAGGAGGAGGAAGAGGAGGGGGAGGGGAAGAGATAGAAGAAAGAAGAAAAAAATGGGAAGAAAGCGGAGGAAGAGAAGGAGGAAGAAAAGCAGGAGGAAGAGGAGAAGAAAAGAAGGAGGAAGAAAGAGGAAGAAAAGCAGGAGCAAGGGGAGGAGGGGAGACGGGGGGGAGGGAAGGGGCTTCTCCAGCCCGCCCTCGCCGCCTCCCACCCCCCTCGGGGCCGGGGCTTCTGGGGTGAGCGGTCCCAAGGCTTAGCTCATCCCTCGGTGGCTCCGAGGCGCAGGGAAGGGAAGGCGCGACCCTCTGCAGCTGGGAGAGGGCCCCCGGGGGAGGGGAGGGGCGGGACCCGCTTCCTCCCCCTCCAGGCAGCGGGGCAAGGCGCTCGTCGGGATGGGGAAGCGCTCGGGGGCGAAGGGGAAGCGGGTTTCCCACGCCCCGCCTGGTTAGAGGCTTCTCCCAATCGGGGGCAGGGGGCGCGGAGCTTGCGGGGGTCCCGAGGCTGTGCTAACTCGACCCCCCCCCCCGGGTTAGTTTAGGGCTCAGTCGGGGAAGTTTAGGCGCCGTGTTAAGTCCGTGGTGGGAACGCAGCCGTTCGAGTCCAGCCGGCTCAGGGGAGCAGCCAGGCGCATCTCCTGGGCTTACCAAACCCCTCAGCCCCTTAGTCTAGTCGGAGAGACCCTCTCCCCATAATGCTGGGCAAGCCGGAGGGTCATCTTATTCACAGGCACGGGGATGTGTGGGGCGGGGGTGCTTCCTCCGCTTCCCAGATCCACTTATTGGAGTCCTTCAGGAAGGGGGCGCAGGTGCCGGCGTCTGTATTGGATGGTAGGCTGTTTCTGTTTCAGACTGGGGTGGACTACATGACCTCTGGGTTCCTGGCTAATGTCCCTAGCGATCCATGTGCCTGTAACTGGGCTGGGCCAAAAAAGTAGATCTAGCTCGGGATTTCTTTCCTTCCTTCCTTCCTTCCTTCCTTCCTTCCTTCCTTCCTTCCTTCNGAGACAAGGCACTGCCTGGATCTACAACGCTGGGCAGGGAGCCTGTAAGATCACCCTGACCAGCTCCCCCCCCCTCCCGCCCAAACGATCTCTTTGCAAGGACTGGATCCGGAATTGAAAATCAAGTGGGATCAACCCTCGCAGCTCCTATTCCCAGGGCCGCCTGGCTCTCCTTCCTTCGGGAAGGAGGAGGGCATTGGTTTTCGCGGGGAATCTTTTTCCCCCCACCGACATTTCACCGCTGACTACCTTGGGATCTCCGCGTGGTCTCTCATCCCCTGA